GAGTATAGTATTATGTGCAAACTTCCACTGATTAGGTAATATACATGTATTAGGGAAGATTTAGCATCATGAAAATATGAAAAAATGGCCACAATTTGGCTATTTTTGTTTGAATCTCGAAAAAATATATGACATGCACCTATAACCCAATACGCATGATCATGACACAAAATTTGAATAAAATTGCCCTGTTCAACTACACGGAAAAGCCCTGGACACGTATAAGAATTTAACAATTTTGAGGACCAAATGGCAACCAGTCAGCCATACTTGATCAAATGGTAATAAAAATTAATAGTTCCTTAAAATCTTATAAATCATTTTGATTACAAAAATACACATAGTGTGAATATAAAGATGTGATGTACAAACACAGCAAACTGCTTAGTATAGAATCAAACTTGATAGTTGCTATAGTAACCATGGGTATGGTGCCTGAATTTAATAGACTATATTTAAAATCAGGTTATCAGTCATTATTTTTAGACTATAGAAGGTAGTATTACTGTGTGGTATTTACATGCTATGGCTCATATTTCTTAAAATGCATGGAAATAGAGTATAATTATGTTTTCATTTTTAATATGATTCAAACCCGTGTGAGGTTATTAATTAATGAAGAGGCCAAATTTGTTATTGTTGATTCTATAGACTGTAGACGGAACTTTTTAACCCAGTAATTATTGGTATGAAATTTGTTACTAACCTATACTAATACCAAATTTTGTTTTAACTAATATTATTAACATGATTCTTAAACTTGAATGTATCAAGCTATGTACCGGATTCTGCAGTAAATTCGCTCAGGGCCGTTAAACGGCAGTTCGGGTTTTTAAAAAAATAAAATGCGATCAAGAAACCGTCCGGGGCGATTTTTCGGCAGTTTTTTAAGGTGTTATTTCAATCTTTACTTATGCCTAAAAGTTTCGCCGTAGTCATTGACGCCTATTTGAGAGTATTGACGTTTGTTTCGACAGTGAGCTGTTATCGCTGTAAATATTCTTCAAATGCTCAGTTTATCTTTTGAAAACAACTAATTTTATTATTTAAAAACAAATCATGCTGCTTTCCCATCAAAATCCAGACTAAAAGATCGTACAACAACATAGGCAAATCTCTTCCGTGCTGTGTTGAATAACATTAACATATTTAAATGTGATATGGTAATTTGAACATGTTGGCATCATCCATTGTTTTCATTGGTTAATTAGCGTCAGGTCAAAGAACACCATCTCAGGTCAAAACATCATGGCGGATATTCATTTCTACAGCATCGAGCGTTGAAAATACAATCGGAATCATTCGCTTACGATGAAATGAGTTGAAATTTATTTGCATTTCATAACAATTCAACAAATTTATTTTTTGCACGTTATTATAATCATTACTAGGTAATAATCAACAATTATAAAACGCAGCATGACCGGATTGCGCTACCGCGATAATTTGCTACTAAGCAATGCAGTTGGGTTCGTTTTTATTTGAAAGTTCTTTTAGAATATACTTTCGTTACTCATAAAATGAAACAGAACAATTGTATTTGCCGCAAAAGGTTTCGTTAATGTGATTTTTTTTGGAGAAAGATGCACAGTCTACTTTTTAATCCAGCTAGAAAAAAAATGTATACAATTTCAGATTAGCTCCTGCAATAATTTTCTTTCGTTTTGGGTAGTCCAACTGCCGGTGTTGAAAATCTGCGTAGGTGGATTTTTCAATGAAAATATAAGCCCCATAAAAATATTTGATGATAATGTTTTGAAAATTTGAACCCCGTGAAACCACCCAGGATGATTTTTCGAATAGGCGAATTTACGGCAGAATCCGGTAATTTATTTAACAAGATGTGTATTCTGTTATTTACAAGGCTTTGTATTTAGGTACAAGTTTTATGCAGCTCCTATTCTTAGTACATTAGTGAGCCTCTGTTATAAAATGGCAGCAATAAACAAATAAATGAATAAATAATGGGACCTGTTTTTGACTAAGAAATAATTACTCTTTTAGTGCAAAAGTAGTACTTATGATGTGCATGCAGCACCTCTCTATCACTGTGCTAACACGAGTTATCCCCTTGGGTTAAATCATGAGTGTATGTGTAAGATGAAGACCAGATTACACTATAAAACTACATGATGATACAGCTTCTTGTTCTTGGCAAAATAGATGTTTTTTTAAACTAAATGTGTGAACCATGAATACATAAAATATTCAATGAGTGACTGTGTGATTTCATATTTATTAAACAAGTGTAGTTATTTTCATATGTTCCAAGCTACATGACTACTAAATTACCTATTCACGAATTTTGATATTTTATTTATTACATGTGCGTATGTATGTGATAAATCTAGAACATGATTTTACTAGTCAGGCAAAATTCAAGCAAAACTCATCAAGATGAGAATACATGAGAAGGCACGTTATAAATAGCCATGTAAGTCTTCCAAATAACTGACAATCACAGGTTCATTCAAATCGAAGATTGATTGTAACTGTTAGTATGACAATATATCCATTCAAAGCAGACAACCTAGTTTCAACATTTTTTTTTTTAATCAGTGCCTAACAATCATTTGAAGCATTCGGCTAAAAAAAAATCTCGAGGTTCAACTGCAATAAGATTTTGCCCTGAATTAGCACTACCTTTCTAAATGAGTGAGTGATCAAGGGCACTGTACCAACTCAACAATAAATGAATCAGGTCTAAATTTTAGCTCTTGTTCAACCGTTGTTCAGCCACAATGGTACACTGGATTAACCCATTGGTATAAATCGTAATCATGAGTAGACCATACAAATACATTTACAATTACACACTGGTGCAATCCGGTTTTATCAAATGATGGGAAACACTATATAGAGCAGGTGGCAGGTATTTGATTTCATTCTTATTACAAAGTTAGCACAAACACAAATTACACACTGGTAAAATAACCAAATCAGAAGCAGTTGAACAAAGAGAAAAGCACTGAGAATGCAGTTCCCATTTGTATTTAACGCAAAAGTCCATCACTAGCAGTGATCCAGGATTATGGAGGTATTATAAAGTGATGTGATCAGTCATTGATGGCAATGTATGGTAATGGGAAGAGATTATTTGGTTCAATCTAATGTGCAACTAAATTCCAGAATGTAAAATCATTAAACTAAGAAATCGATGTTACTAGTGATGCTGGAAAGTGTTCAAAATAAATATGATGTGCAAATGTAACTAAATATTCATGATCCTATTATTATCTCTGAAAAACGGCTCAAGGCACATTACAGACAGGCTATTTTAGACAAAATGGCCTTTAAATTACAAATTTGATTGAATTCCAAAATAACACAATCTATGAGTAAGTAGAGTACTTGCATGCAAACCTTCAACTGAATCATGTGATACATTAGTGAGGAATCGGCCATGACATGAATAAAAACACAATGGCAACCAGTCAGCCATTTTTCTACCAATCTTGCAGGGGGAAAAAATGAAATGCACCTGTATCTCAATATGCACGATTCTGATACAAAGTTTGCTTTGTATGAGAATTTTAAACAAAATGATCGTCAATTTAACAAATTTGATCAAATCACAAAATAATACAACCTAAAGCAATACAACTGAATCAGGTAATATATTACTGAGGAATTGGCATGGACATAAATAACAACAAATTACTACCAGTCAACCATTTTTGTTAAATCTAAACATTTTTCAGTTTTAGAATTTAGCAAGTCAGATAATTTACATGCATATGTGAGTCATCATGCATAATTTTTGTCTTGCATGTGATTGGTCAAAGCCTGTCTGAGAAATGGTTCCGTACAGAAACTTAAATTAATAATCTCCTATTTTGGACTTCATCAAAACAAAATAAAATAGAAAATTGACAACACTTAACTTTATATACCAAACAGCGGTAACAATCAGGGTGTAATAAATACATTTCACAATGAATTCTGAAATTATTCAACCTTCACAAGAAACACATTTAATGCATATAATGACTATAGCTCTGTGCTATGTCTCCAATTGACATGTAAGCTGACTTACTTGAATAATCTTGGGCTTCCAACGATGTCTGTTTGTCCCGCTAGTTTTGTCTTTTCAATGTGATCCATATACATTTTCATCATCTATAAAACAATCAATAAATAATTAGTATTACCTCAAAAATATTACAAATATTTCAATGTTTAAAGAAAAATTCTGAGAGAATTGTTAACCAATGAATATTATAAGAAAATATAAAAATATTTATTATCTAGTCAGGGTGCGAGTCAGTACAAAAAGGGTCACTCATAATTTTTGTTTCTGGTTTCTGGTGAAAATATTGTATAAATAACAAGCAGCCTATCGGCTGAGATAGCTCCGCTGTTAGCAATGCACATTTCAATTAAAGAACTGAAGACATCATTAGAAAATGAACAATATGTATAGTATCAAAG